GAAGAAGACGGGAGCGGCGACGGACGGAAATTGTCGTCGGCGTCGGAGGGCATTTTTTTGTCGAACTATTTATTATTATTATTATTATTATTATTATTATTATTATTATTATTATTATTATTATTATTATTATTATTATTATATTTCGAATTTTTTATTTAAAATTGAAAAACTATTAAAAAATTTATAAACATTAATATGATTTACTAATTGCAATAAAGCCCTAGGGTATTCTCGTCTTTTTATGCTTGGTCAAAGATTAAAATGACAATAGGTGCAGTGTGCTTCAAAATATATTACACAGGGGGGTATGAGTTAATTTTTTTTTGACAGGGGGTTATTTGACAATTAAAGATTTCACAGGGGTGGTATTTGCAATTAACTCGCAATAATAATATTGTAAATACTAAAATACCCATGTTATTAAATTATTTTTTAATTAACTAATTAAAAAATAAATAAATAATAGTTATTTTATTTTACCATGCAGTTCTTGGGAACCATGATTATAGAGGTGATGCGTTGGCGCAATTGAGTCCTTTTCTTAGGAAAATTGACAGTAGGTGGCTTTGTTTGAGGTCTTTTGTTGTTAATGCAGGTAATTTTTCGTTTAATACATATTTATTTAAATTTATTTATTTTTTTAATTTAATTTAATTTAATTTTTTTTTTTGATAAAAACAGAAATTGCGGAATTGTTTTTCGTGGATACGACGCCGTTTGTGGAAGAGTATTTCACAAGTCCGGAGGATCATGTATACGATTGGCGTGGTGTTTCCCCTGTTAAAAGCTATACTGCCAACTTATTGAAAGTAAGTTGGCCACTTTTTATTTTATTTTATTTTTTTAATTTTATTTTTATTATATGATGCTATTATGCTAATAATCAATTTATTGCAAATAAATACTCTTATTTGTAATTTATCAAATATTTATTCATACGCGAAAAAGTGAAAAACACATATACTTAATAGGGTGTAGCATAGAATTAACCGGTAATTCATGTTTTAAGTTTCGACACACGAATATTAAGAAACCTAATAAATTTATAATAATTTTAAGAAAAAAAGTATGTAATAGGGCTAAATTAGGTAGCCTTCCAATTAATTCTCATTTTCTTAATTTTTATCCTCAACTTTGTGAGAATTAATGTTTGATTAAGAATGAATGTTGTATCTACCTAACCATGTGCACTAATATTAATGTTTGAATAGGAATAAATGTTGTGCCTATCTAACCACATTGCAATAGATAGTGACACTAATATAATCTAATTTCTTGCCAAACATGTTGATTATGAGCACATGTTTTTTAAATTTTATGTACCTAACCATATTATCGCAACAAATCTATATATGCACAATTAAATCTCTATAAATTAATAAATATGAGAATAGCAAAATTCTATTAATTTAGCAAATTATTAAATTATCGAACTAACAATTTAATATATAATTTTCATCAAATTGAAACGAAAAAACTTATTTAATCGTAACTATTAATTTATCGAGGTTTTTTTTGTATGTACATAGGATCTTGAATCAGCATTGAAGGAATCAAGTGCAACATGGAAAATAGTGGTAGGTCATCATGCCATTAGAAGTGTAGGTCACCATGGCGATACACAAGAGCTTATAGATCAACTTCTTCCTATTCTTCAGGTAAAAAAATAATTTTTCTTTTATAACCAAATTTATTTTACAAAAAAATCAAATTCTTTAAATTATCTTTTTTGTAAATACTTTAGGCGAACAAAGTCGATCTATACATGAACGGACACGATCACTGCCTCGAACGCATCAGTGACCAAAAAAGGTACGCAAGGAACAAAATCCCGATATCGATTTTATTCTAAAATGTTGAAATTATTGTGTTATTCAGTAGAACCTCGATAAATTAATAAAGTCAATTAAATAATAAACTTCTCCCGGTCCCGACTCGTTGAAAACGTACTGAATTAACATTTCGCTAAATTAATAGAATTTTGCTAGTACCGACTGTACTAATTTGTAATGATTTTTTTTCCAGCCCGATTCAATTTTTGACGAGTGGGGCGGGGTCAAAAGCATGGAGGGGGGATGTAAGTACGTCGAACAATGCCGGGGTGAATTTTTTCTACGACGGACAAGGTTTTATGTCCGTAAAATTGACACAAAGTGATGTGGAGATTGTGTTTTATGATGTTTTTGGTAGATTATTACATAGATGGACTATGTCCAAGCTGCAGGACTTGCTTCATCCAGTTATATGAAACAACATAATTTTTTTGGCATTTAAATGTGTCCTTTGTACCTCATATTACATAGATATAATTACATAGGTGTAAATATAATTTATATATAGTATTAGTACTCTCCATTTCATAGTGTTCTTATTTTATTGAAATAGTCCGCTAGTATAATGTATTTGTGTACGCATATAATAATAAAAGGCTGTAAAATCCTATTACAATGGAATAATTTAATTATACTGCAAAAAACCCTCTGTATTATAGTATGTCTCTTTGAAGAGTTTTTTTGTTTTTTTTGTCTCAAAATAATTTGTCAGTTTATATTTCTAATGATACACTAATCGCACTTTTTGGTCCCAAAATAATTTGTTAGTTTATACTTTATATTTCTAATGATGCACTAAAACTTCGTGTGTTTCGATAAATTATGGTGCATCGCCCGGGAAGATATACTAGTTCTAATAACTTATACTTCTAAGAATTTAAAAAAAATTAGGAGTAATATGCAAAGAGTCCTTTGAATTAAACTTAATTTGAAATGACAACCTTATACATTTTTTTAATCAAGTCCCTACTTTGAAACAAGGGTAAATTACATTCACATTCCTGAAGTATGCTTAAATAACTTTAAGGTTTCTGTGATATCGATAATTACACTCACCCCTGAAACATGTTAGAAACTCAAATCGGATAATTCATTGGATAAGTTATTCCGATGGAGTTATAACGGACTATTACTTTTAGCTAGTGGTGAAAACAACATAGAGTTATGAGGTGGCATGGCTCATCCAACATTTCTTAAATCACGCATAACTCTTTGTTGTCTCCACCACTTCCGGAAACTAATAGTCCGTTAAAACTATCGGAATAACGTATCCAATGCATTATCACATTAGAGCTTCTAACTATGTTTCAAGAGAGTGAGTGTAATTATCGATACCACATCGACCTTAAAGTTATTTTAGCATACCTCAGGGGTGTGGGTGTAATTTACCCTTGAAACAATATATAACCCACATCCCTAATTTTTATTTTATCCCTAGTTTTCCCTTATACCCTAAATAAAATATTTCTCCTCTTTTGTTATTTCTCTCTCTCCTTTTCTCCTCCCCCCTCTCCCGCTCTTTACATCTCTCTCTCGCCACTCAGTTATGGCAGCTCTGGTGGGTGGAGGCGGCGGAAAATTACGGATCTGCAAATGACGGCGGCAACTCATGGCTCATGACGGTAGAGAGATGCAGTGGTTGTCGTGGTTATAGAGGGGTGGTTATGGTAGTAGATGGTCATTGGAGATAGTGGTGAGGTTAGATCAACGGTGGGATGTGGTTGCATTAATCTAGGGCTCTTTGACGGTGCTAGGGTTTTGGTGGTGGCTAGAGTTCAGTGGATAGAAGTTGGCGGCGGCTGCGAGTTGTTGGTTGCTAGCGTTTTGGTGGGCGGCTGGGGTTCGGTGGATAGAAGTTAGCGGTGGTTGCGAGTGGTTGGGCAGCTGCTGCGAGTTGTTGGTGCCTAGAGTTTGGCGACAACTGAGAGTTGTTGGCTGCTAGGGATTGGAACACACCGTAATAAACTATAATTCAGCGTAGTATACTATAGTCACAGTGTCTACTGCATTATTAATAATAAATAAAATCAAAAGAAATATTAAAAAATATGTAAATTAAATTTTAAAAAATGATTTTTTTTTTTTATTTTCAATATTATGTAGAGAAGAAAAATAT